CAACACTCCAGCAATTGCCCCATGAAGTTAAGGTTTGGGGAAATAATTGGTCGTTTGCCTTTGACAAATTTGTAAGCATCAGTCATGGTCATTCGTGTGTGTTTCATCAAGTAGGCGATGACAATGGTGGCAGAGCGGGACACGCCAGCCTGGCAGTGGATGAGAAGCCCTTTCCCACACTGGTGAGCTTCCTCTGGAAAGAGAGAGACAGGAGATGAAGAGAAAGAGAAAGAGAGATAGACAAAGAGAAGTTAACTCATATCTGAACTTGATAATGCCTCATTTTGTAGAGAACGAAATTCAAATGGTTTTAAAACCAAGTATAATTCTATATGCTTAGGCCATAACTTCCAGAACTGGATAAAGTCAGTATTAGCATGAGTAAGAAGCTTATGTCTATACCTAAAGAGAAGAGGGAGCACAAGAATCATACACGTGAACAGTGTACATTATAGGTGACAGCAGTGGACCAAAGTTAGACCTACACATAGCACAATGAACTCTTATGTTAAGTTACTCAGTAAATAGTCCCTGGATTTCTGTCTCAAGTATCTGGTTCCCCTTCTATTTTTCTAAAATTGTACAGCTGAAAAATACAAATGAAAGGGAAGGAAAGGTAGAAAAGGGGGAATGAGGAAAGGGAGGGGAAATGACACATACATAGACATAAATACAAAGGACACATATTTGCATATAGGTGTGTATATAATATAATTCCTCTTCTCATTAAGGATATTAATTCCACTTGCCAGGTTCTGTAGCTTATCAAATGAGTACCATTAACAACAAATCTCTCTCATCTGTGATAGACACAAAAATAATTCTTTCCTTATACTGTAGAATTGCTCTATATAGGAAGAGGCATTAAATGGGTGAATTAGTTTTACTAAACCCTGATCAAAGTTAAGGAATAAAAGTCAACTAGACAATTACTACATTTAGGTTCTTACCTAAATGTTGCAAAGTTAACTAAAGGCTTAGAGAGTTCCGACTCAGCCATCACCCCTCTCCTAAATGTTCAACACCTCCCCCTTCCATTCACGTATGCTACTCAAACATGGCAGTGACTTGGATGATGGGGGAATGCCCACTATGACTTGGAATCCAGAACAACTGAAAGAGGCAATCCTTTCCATGTTTTCACATATATTAAAAGCTCAGGAGAAGAGCCTGTGAGCACTGAACAAAAATTTAGTGACACTTTGTGACAAAAAGGCATCCCCAAGAAAGTATCCCTGATGGAATATTAGGAAAGTATCCCTGGAATATTAGAATATTAGAAAGTATCCCTGATGGAATTAGATGAAAAGGTAGGGAAGGGAAAAAAGTAAAAACAGTAGTGATTTCACTGAAATTACTTTTATAAGCATGATGTGAATTTTTATCTTTAAAGTCTATAGGTGAGATTGACTTCTCAGAGATAACAGTTCTTAGAAAAGTAAAAAAAGCAACACTTCAAGAAAATCTCTTTCAATTTTTTCTCTTTAGCATATACTACTGACCTCCAAATCAAGACTAGAAAGCATGGTGGTAAAAGAAGTTTAACCACTGGTTCCATTATAGAACAGCTGACTGACCTTGTGAGAGTCACATAACTTTACAAAACCTCAATCTGCCTGTCTGAGTAGCCTCAGAGAATAATATCACTTGATTCAGGAATAAACTGGCATAGTTAAATCCTAAATTCTAGACTGTGCTTAGCTTGTACTGAATTCTAAGTGAATGTTATTATGTTTATAAACTGTGCTGTATTTTCCCTAAAGCAATACTATAAGATTTCTGTTTATCCAATAAGATAGCAATGAAAACAAAATTGTGCCCATGCTCATTGTGATTTTGAATTGTTCTCCAGGCTCAATGCTATTTGTTATTGGTTTTGTTTTCCTTCTAAACAAGCAGGTAAGCCTGAATAATCTACAAAGAATATAAGCACTTTAGTTGAAATCTTCTTAGAACAGTGTATCTTATACTACAAATTAAATGGAACACAATTTCCCAACTTCCCCCACCTGGAATTAAGTCAGGTGAAATCACAGCCTGGTTCATATATGAATCAGCAAGTTTCTCAACTTGGTGATAAATATTTCTTCCTCACGACTCAAGGTTTGGCTCAGCTATTAATAGAGAACCTGAGGCCAGGCACCAGTGGCTCATACCTGTAAAAAGTTACCAAGACCCCATCTCAACCAATAAAACTGGGTGTGGCAGTGTACACCTGTCATCCCAGCTAAACTGAGATGTGAATAGAAGGATCCTTGATCCAGGCTAGCCCTGGGAAAAAAAAGTGCATGACCCTATTTGAAAAACAACGAAAAAGCAAAAAGGGATGGGGGCATGTTTCCAGTGGTAGAGCGCCTGCAAGCAAGCATGAGGCCAGGTTCATACCGTAGTACAGGAACAAAACAAAACAAAACAAAAACAACAACAACAAACCCCCCTGATCTTTGCACCCAGTGTTACCAATTGAGAAGCAACTAATAGCACATTTTAAACATGTCCCCAGTGTGTTGTAAAAAAGAAGGCCCCTGCCCTGAGAGTCAAGAATCCTAGATTCTGGTCCCTTCTTTGACACTAGAATTCCTATGACCTTGGAAACACCCTATTACTTCTCTAAGTACAGTGACTACTCTGAATTTCCTTCCAGACGGACTACCCAACAGTCCTATATTGAAGGTACAGTTAGCAAAAAAAATAACTGGGCAAAGTGGGCAGAGCTGCCAACTCGACAGCAAATCTGCCAGACTGGGTAGCTGTCAAGCCTACGGCATTTTTCTCACAAAAGGGAATCGACTATCAGTGTATTCTTCCTGGGGCAAAGGCCAGTAACAGCCTGTTGCGATAATGAGGAAAACTACTGGGTCACCTTTGTGGAAATAAAGGTTGGAGTCACTTGAAAAAAATGTTGAGTATCTGCCATATGCCAGTGATCTCCAAATGATCATTTGAGCTTTACAACAGTTCAAGGTTACAGATGTAGCAAAAATTAAGGTTAGTGTTGGGCTGATGGTTGTTTCCTTTTAGAGATTAGAGCCTGCTAGAGCTAGATTTTCTTCTGTGGGAACTACAAGGGCTGAACAACTTGATCTCTCCTACTTGGGACACAATGTCAAAGGAAATCTTCACTCCTTGTTGTTAACCAATGTTTAAAAACTGAGGAAGAAAGGAGACAGAGAAAACAACTCACCCCACCCTTCTCTTCCTCCTCTGAAATTATGCAATACAGAGAGAGGTTTGCTATACTATTGTCTATTTACTGAAGGACTCTTCAGAACCAGCCCTCTAGCAAATGCTACCTTTGCCTCAACCTCAGGTGAAGAAGCCCTACCAATTGCAATTGGGCATAACTCAAGGTAAGGAAATAGAATTACTTCCTGAGCTGTATGAGTAAGGTCTAGTAGATTAGGTAGAAGAAGTAGCAGTTCTGAGCTCCACTTCTTTATCTTCCCTCCATTCTTCTTGTTATGAAGCTTATAAATGCTCTCTATGGTTATAAATACCTATCATTCTTTTCTTTGACATTTTAGCAAGGATTTATGTTAGTATAACAGGATAAAGTATAGACAAGAGTGGGGGAGAGAAAAAGAGAGAGAAACATTTCCTGTTCCCCATGCAAGAAATGGAAGCAAAGACTCAAAATGGTGGCCCCCTAGCGCCTAGTCTGATACTGGAGAGCTGGGTGGAATATATATGATCAAAACCTGCAACTTGCCTATCATTCTTCTGTTAAGAACTTGTAGGGTGAGAATTTCTAGTTGAACACATGTCAACCAAACTGAATGACTATTGCTATACTTGCATATGAAATGTCTGCCATAGGCTCATGTGTTGAACACTTGGTCCTTAGATGGTGGCAGTATCCAGGAAGGTTCTGGAAACTTTAGGAAGTGGGCCCACTTGGAGGAAGTAGGTCAACTGTAGGTGTGTCCTTCGGGGCTGGATTTTATCCCAGGTCCCTCTCTGTTTCATGCCCACCATGAGGTGGGCCTCTGTCCCATGCTTCTGCCATGCCATGGCCTCAGAATCAACAGAGTCAATGACTGTGGACTGAATTCTCTAAAACTATGAGACTAAATAAATAATTCTTCCCCTTAACTTGTTCTCTTGGGTGTTTTGGTCACAGATTTGGAGAGCTGCCTAACACAGCTATTCATTTATGTCTATACTGATGGCTTGGATATATTCCATGGGCTATGAATTAGGAGAACACTGGCTGCATTAGAGATGGTAACACAGGATTAAACCTGGGACTTGATATTAAAGCAAGAGCTGGAGGGAAAGGAAGGAGAAGGATGAAACTCGCCCTGAGGAGATAGTTACCAATGAACTCAAAAGCCTCTTCAAAGTACTGCCGCAGGTTCTGCTTGTTGCTGTCAGTGGCTGGCAGCCGCTTATAGTTGAAGAGGCCTTTCTCGTAGTGGTACAAAGGAAGGTGAGTGGTGACATTGATGACATAGCCAATGTTCAGCCGCTGCATGGTGTCCAGGTCCTGAGCATCCTGCTCGTTGCCAAGGAACAGGAAGGGCAGGATGGGCGTCAGCTCTGCGTTCTCGATGTCAGGGGTGGTGGGGACAGACTGAGGTAGCATGCTCGAGGCCGCAGATGCACTGCCCCCAACCTCCCTGCACTCTTGGAGCTGGAGGGAGTTGTCACAGAGGTTTTCATGGCTCTGCTTAAAACTACTAAGTCCACCTGGAACATAAACACAGAAAGCAAGAGTGACTCTCCCTAAGATTTTCACAGCTGGCTGAAAATGCCACCTTCCCAGTAGGAATGAATGTGCATTGCTGTTTATGTACTATATCCGTACCCAAACCCAAAACTGGAAGTCCATTTGGTGACCCCAGACCAGCTTCAGAGGGTCTCATTGCATGGAGTACTTAGAAAAGTGCTCTTCATACAAACCAAAATCTACTGCCATGTGTCATCAGGCAATTTCATCACCTGAAAATCTGAGCTGCCTCACAGAGCCATATGCTCCGTGGCCCATACAGAACACTGCACTCTGGGAGCTGAGGAAGGTAACATCCACCCATGGAGAATTTCAGCCTGTACACCAGCACTGAGTGAGAACATCTTGCACTTTCCCAGAAGGCCAAGGTCACTATCAATACTGCAGAGTCCATGGAAGAGCCTAATTATGTTGGCTGTTATCTTGGTACCATAGATTCCTGGTTCTAAGACTTGGGTGAGCTTATTTCTCTGTGTCTTCCAGTTTCCCTGTTGTTAAAAGGAGGGTAAGGGCTTCTACCTCATGAGTCTGAGATGAATAAATGCTTGTAAGATGTTTAGCACAGTGCCAGGCACACACTACTGCTCAGCAAGTACAAGCTAGTTTTATTGCTATTTCTGTGATTGCCTGGAGGTAGAAGCAGCAGCGAAATAGGAAAGACAAGATAGGGTTGAATGGGTATGCAGTTCTTATAGTCTTATTTTTTTTTGATGGGTTACAAGTGGAACCCTGACATTTGTGTACCTTGACTTCCAGTAGAATGAACTCTGAGAACACCTCAATCTCCTCCACTTAGGGTTTTTTTAGAAGGTTGTGAGTACATTAACCCCTTAGGAAACCTCTCATGGATCTCTGAACATATACTCTGAGCAAAGGCCTAAAACTGCCTCCAAGAGTTATGGCCCTAAAACTTTAAAAAGTTTAAGCTGTGCTTGTGTCCCCATTTTTCAAAATGCAAATCCCCCCCATGTAACTACAGTCTCACTTATAGGAATGTGTCTTATGGAAATCAAAGCTATTCAGCTATGTGCATGAAGATGTTTACTACAGCATTATCTGTTTAATGGAAAAGGCCAAGTAAAAAACAAAAGTAAAACTTAAAAAAGAAAGCAGAAGTCACTACATTTATCCCATGGAACATCATGTTGCCATTAAAAGAACAGTTGTTAAAAGTAGTGAGAAAAGAAAATGTTTGTTTATTATGAAATGAAAAAAAGAAGGTAATTCAAAAAAAATCCAATAAAAACTGAAGAATTACACAAAAAAAAGAACAGTTGTTTAAGTCATGAAATTCATGGATCATGATTGTTTAAATTTTCCTTTAACATTTGTTACAAATCACATACATGGATAAACCCAAAGGTTTATTATGAGGATCAAATTATACAATATATAGGTAAAAGGTATGAAACCTGGGTTGACATTATTGCCACCAAATGAGCTTTAATTCTAATTAAGTCAAACTAGATACACTTGGACCTTCTCATTGAAAAAGGAAGCATTGAAAGACTCCAGACCACACCATAATACCACACCAGACCACAATACCTGCCGCCAAAGATAGTTGTCTTATGTCTGTCTTAACAGTCCTTGGAGACAAGGCAGAAAAAAGCAGAGGATTTAACTGTGCTGAAATAAGGACAGAAAGTCCATCTGTCCACTAGCTTCTGAACGTATGTCTTTCTCCATTTTAAGTCTCACAGCAGGAAGCTCCAGATTATCGCTATACCTAGTCTCATGACTGTTCACAACCAATGGCTGTGGAATCAGTCATGCAAACAGAGAAATCATATTTTCATTAAGATAGGGTAAGGATCCACAGAAAATTCAAGAGAGCAATATAATGATCATTTTACTCTTGAAAAATGAGTAAAGTCCAAACCTTTGTCTTTTGAAAAGAAAAACAAAAGGAATGAACTCATTCAAGCTGATTTCTACAAGTAAGGTCTGTCCTTACATTATTTTATTATGCTATAAAATCACATTAATAAAGTATGAGCCTAAAGAGAAATATAAAGTATAAAGAAAAAAACAAAAAACCAGAAATGCTTCACAAGTGAATCCTTAAAAACATAAAGTAAAAACTACCTATTATCACTACCATAGGCTCCACAAAAGACTCTAAAGAGTTATTTTAAAATATGCTCAGTCTTGCCTCAACAAAAACATCCAAGTAAACAGTTACACACTGATTCAGTGATGGGAACCTAATTCACTCTTTTCTTAGGAAAAAGGCAGTTGTGACATTTTCCCATATAAGTTGAGAAGGAAATAGGACAAAATCAACTCAAAAGAAGTGTCTAAGGGTGTGTGCAGAGAGGGAGTCCTCTCTGCTCTTATTTAGGGTACTCAAGCAGCAATTTATCTTAAAAAGCAGCTAGTTTAAGGGGGAAAAACGCATACCAGAAAACCACACACACAGAAAAACACAGCATACAGCTTTTTAAAATTCTGTCTCTACACCTCCTTTCCCAATGACATCAGCTGGAGGCTCCCCACCTGCCCAGTTGCCATAGCAGTTACACAAAGACATACAATGACATCAGTTGGCATGATATCAGCTCTTTGAGTGCAAACAATACAAGAAGAACTACTTTGTTTAAGGCCTTTGGTGCAACTGTGTTCTGGGGAGCCAATGATGTAATGCTAACAGGTGGCATGGGCCTTCCATTTGCCTAATGGGGGAAAAAACCCATGGGGGAAGGCGGGGGATGGAGGGAATCTGAGACACACAGAATCACAGAATGCTTCAAATCCCAGGGTGTGCTCATGTGCAAAATTATGTGTGTATTGTGTGTTTGAGCCATGAGAGAACACTGCTTATGCAATATTTGGAGGGGAAGTAGATAGAAAAGGTGATATTATCATTCAAATGTATTAGCTAGACTCAGAAATTCTCACTGAGGGTCTGAAGAAACACTCTCCTCTTCAATTTCCGGTTTGCTTGTCCAACTTGGACATCAGTTCTCACTTAAGGATGAGGTGCACCCATCTACTATGGTTAAAACTCTGTGGATGGTGCTCAAAGCAAAATGGACCACTGGCAGCTCACAGTGGTGGTTGTTATTTATTTATTTATTTTGAGAGAGAGAAATCTGCAAGAAGGGTTGTTTTCTTCTCTTGGGGTGGTAAGGCTAGAATTGGCAGCTGACAGGAGGGGAAAGAGTAGAGCTCATACGGTTGTGTTTCCCAACTACTTTTGCCCACCCTACACCATTAAATACAACCAGAAGCCAAACTGATTGCTTAATGAACAGCTTTGATTACATTTGTTATTACTATACTAGAATATTACAAAAGGATTGTTAACACACAAGTGAAGCAGACTGCAATGTAGTATGCTGGTTAAGAGCAGTGGTTAGAGGCAGACCAACACCAGCTTCAATTAGGCTTCTGCTTCGTAGGAGCAATGAGACCTGGTCAAACTATTTTCCCTTATTAAGCCTCAGTTTACTGATCTATAAAGTGGACATAATATCAACAACCCATACAGTTGTGGTAGAAAATGCCTATGTAAAGGTTTTGATATACAAGGCAGGATTTAATAAATAACATCTCATCATCCCAGTATCATCACCATTGTCCTCACCTCCATTTGATCCATGTCTACATGCAGTCCATGAGAGACCTGAGTGCAGTGCAGTGACCCAGGAAAAGGGTACTGAGACTGGACTGCTTTTCCCCAATCCTGCTAAGCACTAGCTATGAGCTCCTAGGCAGGATGTGCATCTCTCTCTTCCTTTATTTCCCCATATGCATAGCAGGATTAAAACCAGTGCCTACCTCGTGACACTGTGGTAAGGGGTTAAACTGGCTTACAAAGTATGTTGAAACAATGTCTACCACATAGAACACAATTTTTCCATTACTTTAGAAAATAATACTTTTAAATATCTAACAAAATCTACTTAATATAAAGACTCTAAATGAGAAGTCAGTTAATGTTCTAGACTTTTTACTTTTAAATTTGTATTTTAAAAAAAGAAGTAGGACCCAACTTATCTGAGCAGTTTTAAAAGTTGGAATAATATAATTTCATCTAAAAGAATACAGCAGTTCCCTATTCTTCCTAAATGAACATATCTGATTTCATTTTATTTGGCTTAGCTTTCCCAACAAAGACTTTGGATTCTGGTTTTTCCAGAGGAGCACTGAATTTTTAAAACACAACTGTTCTTTCTCCTACCCTCAGTCCTCTCCCTAATCCCTGCCAAACTGGCTAACCTTCCTATGCACACAAGAGCTTGCAGTTATCAAAAGATCTTGCAGGGCAAATATTTTTGAGGCATGAGCAGCAATGCTGGGTGGGGGGAAGGCAAACATTTTCAATCCTTATCTCAAAAGGAGTATGGTTAGCACACTGATTTTGAGTGACACCAACAAAGAATAGTCAGAACTCCTAAAGAAAAATATGTGTTAATAACACCCGGCTGTTTCTTCCCACAGGTTTGTTCAGTGACAGTTGAGAAAAGCAATGGGTCCTAGTTTTACCACTCTCTCAGTAGATGCATGTGGACAACACTTGCTCTGGTGGCTTTTGCAGTCCTGGACACAGAAGAACCCTTGGTGAAGTGACTCAGAAGCAGTTCTCTGGCTGGGGAGCTGAAGAACCCAGGTCCATACACAGAATCCATAAGCAAGAGATTTCTCCATTCTAAAGATGGATAGCACTTCTGCACACGAGCTTTTGATTTTATGCTAAACTGGGAAATAAGCATGCCCCAGAAGTTTAAGGAAAACATTCCTGGAAGGTCAGCAAAACAGAATTAATGTCCAAGAAGCGGGAAGGGGTGGAGGGGAGAGATTCTAAAATTGAAATCTTCTACAAGATTGCTGCAAGCATATTGATCACTCCGGTTTGCTGCCTTGCTTTTCTTACTGGGTTACCCATCTTTTAAAGTAAAATAGTACTTTGAAGTTAATGGTGAAGAACACAGATTGGAGCTGGACTGAATTAAAATCCTGGTTCCTATTACTTAAGAGCAACATTCTAACCTCTGGCAAGTTCTTTAACATTCTGCACCTCAGTTTCCACATCTGTAATTGGAATATAATAGCATCTGTCTCACAGCACTCTTAATATGGATACAAGGTTACATACCAGACATTAAGAATGGGAGAATTATTGGTATAAAATGGCTATTATTTTGTGGATTCCCAGGTTCTACATCACAAGGTTCCCACGCAAGAACAAAACATGGATAATTATAGCTGATGTCAGCTTTTGAAGGCTGAAACCTTCAGAGGTGGGGTCAGAGTAACTTCCTACAGTGGGCAGAATATCACCTACCTTAACAAAAGAAATATTTGGAGTACCAGCTACATCCATAAAAAACAATATTTCTACTTCCTGTTTTCTAAGAAATTATCTTTCCTCCATGGATATGATTAGGTATTTTACAGTACCAATGATTTCAAGTTCAATACCAGGGGGTGTCAATTAAATTGTCTTATGATCCGTCTCCAGGGATCTTGTATTTCTTTCCCAAGGAGAAAGAAGGGAGGCTATATTAAAGAGAGAGGAGTCCAGTGAGATGCTGCCTCACAAGGAGTAAGGAATGAGCAAAGGGATAAGAAACATTTCTGCTACCCAGAAAAGAGGGAGATTTAGGGGGTGGAGCCCAGCAATTTTGCTGATAAGAGACTGTGAGTCTGAGAGAAATATCTCCATATGCAAGCCATTTGATTTCTTCCCTCAACCAGTGTGGCCTTGCTTTTCTGACATGTCCAGTGTGTGAACTTCTCAAAAGCAAGGAGGTACCACAAGCTTAAAACCCGTTTTTAAAAAAGAATGACAATCTTGAACCCAATTATTGATTATTGGGCAAGGCATATTATTAGGTCTTCCAGGAAGATAGTACTACAAACAGCTTAGTCTCTTATCACACAGGTTCTTATTGTCTGGATTCTCTCGTAGGAGACACAGGTTATTTACAGAATACCTTAAAACTGATCCTAGAAGTCAGTCTATGATGTATATGGGAACAGAGGGAAGAGAGCTTTGCTTTAGACTACAATAGTGGGCCTGCCCTACAACTGCTAGGTGATGTTTTGAAAGTGAGTGAGTCATCTGGGCTAGCTTTTCTTAACTGTACAATTCAGATAGTACTTCCCAGGTCTGTTGTAATGATTCAAT